ATAAAAAAAGCCTTGTGAATAAAAAGAATACTACTTCAAGACAGACCCAATAGGGAGAATAACAGAATTTCACTTGTTATTACCTATAGTCCATAACTCAAACCCGTCCAACGCATTATACACAATCTGCAACCCATTTTGAAAAATGATCCCTCACTTTCAGGAATCTTTGGGGAAAAGCCTGTTCTTGCTTACAGACAACCCCCCAATCTGAAACGAACTCTTTCCGGTAACCATGCTACACAAACACATCATAAGCCTCCAGGAACCCAGTCCTGCAATCAGCAGTGGTGCCAATTCTGCCCACATATCTATACAAGCGAATTTATCACTGGAGCCAACAATATAAGCTACCAAATCAAGGGATCATTCAACTACACATCCAGTAATTTGATCTATGCCATTATATGCCAGCAATGCCTCTCTGCTATATATATTGGACAAAATGGACAGTCCCTATGAGAAAGAATCAACGGACACAAATCAGATATACGTAAAAGGAACATATAGAAATCTGTTGGACAGCACTTCAATCTGCCTAATCACTCTTTAAAAGATCTCCAGTGGCCGTCTTGTCACAAACAAATTCTACCAGTCAAATACACAGAGAAGTGTTGGAATTTTCTGCAAGTTCATCTGCAAGTTCAATTCTCATGCTAATGGGCTCAATCAGGATGAGGGATGGCTGGGCCACTACCAACCTAACATTCAATGAAGATGCAAACAGCTCTTTATGTAGATTCTTGTATTAGTATCCCCCCCATCTATTGACTTTGATCCTTATCTGCTTTGTTTTAACTATCCAGTCTTCAGTTACTTACTGATGGTCTATTCCGGCTTTCTGTTTTTCCCTTTGATTTTTTCATAACCTTTGCTCCCTGTTTCCCGCCCCCTCCCTTCCTTTTTTTTCTTTCCCCCTTCTCCCCTATTTATTTTGGGTCTGCACATCCTAAACTCAAAACTCTGGTCATCTGAAGAAGTAGGCTGTGCCCACGAAAGCTCATGATACCCTCTGCACGTTTTGTTAGTCTATAAGTGCTACCAGACCAGGTTTTTTTTAAGTTTATCCTGTATAGACTAACTCGGCTACGCCCTGAAGCTTAAGAAAAATACTATTCAGTATATTGGAAAAACAGTTTTGTGGAAATCATGTGATCTACTTGGTTGGTCATAAGTGAGAATTATGAAGAAATCCTTTTTTATATTTTAGAAATGTAGTAATTACTGCACAAACAATGAACAATAAATTGGACAGTTTGGATGATAATAGGTATATCAAGTTCAGCCATGGCCATGTGGCCACCTGCGCCCGGCGGAAATGGCTCCCACTGGCTCCTCCCGGCCCCCATCTTCACTGTGCTTACTGGGTCAGAGTTGCGGGGTTTAAAAAATGGCGCCCAAGATGGTGGCCGTCTTAAAGGGGCAGCCTCCTTTAAAAACAATTTTTTAAAAAATTTTTTGGTTTTGATTGACAATTCTGCTCTAGGGTCCGTGTGTGTGTGTGTGTGTGTGTGTGTGTGTGTGTGTGTGTGTGTGTGTGTGTGTGTGTGTGTGTGTGCAACAATTCTGGTGTGGCTCTTTGCATTTTTTCCACTGCTGTTTTGTCTCTCTTTGTTAAATGGGTTTGCCAACCCTTATCTAGTTGCATAAAACACAAACAAACTTGGCCTTTTCAAATAATCATGGAATATAGTCACTTATACCTAGAGGCTCTGTAGGAAGCATGTAATCAGGGTCAGTCTGTAGCCATCCAACCTAAAAGGTGGTAAATTGTATCTTTGTTTTTAGGGCACAGCCTGTTTTTTGTCTCTGTTTTGGGGTTCTTGTTATTCTGAAATCTAATAAATAAGGTAGTATTATGTTTCAGTCTTCTAGCAAGAGTATTTGTTTTTAATCTAACTCCTCTGAGTGTTTGCCATGGCTATAGAGAAAGCTTCCATCATTGATATTTGTTTTATAGAAAAAGCCACTTTGTCCTTGATGTTTTCCAGGCATAAAGGAAAATGCAGTCCCTGCCTCTAAGACACAATTCTATAGACTGAGTCATGTTGGCAAACACTTATGGCTGAGCAGATTCTCACTGAAGTCAATGGAGTTCTGTACAGGCACAAAAGTTTGCTCACACAGATCTAACAGCGGCACCTAACTCTGAGACAAAGTGTGGAGAACATTTCTTTGAATGATAACTGTGAGCCATGCCTTACCATGCATACTTCATCTTTACAACCCTTACTGGCTGGAAAGCACAGATGCCATTCCTATCTAACAGACTGGTAAGTTTGATCCATATGTAGATTTTAATTTTGTTGGAGTTAGCACTAATAATGTATATGAGGCTGAGGCTTGCTTTACTCCACACCAGGATTTTCTCCACTCAGTCAGTAAAACTCTGAGCAAGTAGAGTTCCAGGGGCATGGTCAAAGATTCTCTGGTATGGCTGCTTCATGATACTGCCAGTGCAAATTGGTCCTAAAGTCAACATAAGTGGCCTAAAGAGGAGCTTTTATGCTGCTATTCCTTCCTGATGTTGGTAGAATAGTGACTGCCAAAATGCCCCCTTGTCATACCAACCTCTGTTTTTGGTCCCCTGGTCTGTTTGCAGCTCTTTTAAATCAGAGTGCCTCTTTGGCAGTTCTGACTTTGACTAAGGAAAAAGGCCTTGTACTTGAATGAATGAATCTAGGAAGTGTAATGGTGTGTTTAAGTAACCACTGCGCCTAAATTGTGGTGTATACAATTTGACTTTAGCCAAAGATATGGCCCATGTTATTTCTATGTCCTTTCGTCCTCCTGATTTCTGGAGAAAACTTGTCAGAATTTAAGATGAAAATGTTTGCAGTGTGGTGCAAATATATCTAAATACACACTTTTAAGTAATCCATATAAAAACTGTTTGGATACCAGGTGTATGTGGTGCTTGAAATAGTACCTCAAATTCCCTACTAGAAAAGTATCTTGAATTGTAGTCTGGTAACATGGTTGTGACTAATCTGATGAAAGCTTCTTTTGGACTACTCACTCCATGGAAACTCAGTTTTGTGAAAGACCGTTTCCGTGGTGGTAGGCATTTAGTTTACAGAACACATTTAATGAGGCTGTTGTGATTCATTTAAGTTTCATCATGTTTCACAAGGATACATTGGTGCTGGAGCTGTATCCTAAATTATTTCTGAAGGTGATGATGAACTTTGTCTTAATGAGCCAGTCACCTTGCAAACATTTATCCTGAGCTCTGTATGTCCTCATACCTATGAGCCCCTTCTCTACAAGTTTAACATCAATGTCCTAGTATTTTCTTTATCTGGAGTGGACTAAAGGTTCTATAGAACTTTGCTATGTCCATTTCTACATGGCTGTCTGACTGCCTTTTACTCCTCTATGGTCTGTTATGGGGGTTGCTCAAGGGTTATTTAAAGGCATATTTGATTCAGAAGAGAGGCTTTGGCTTCAATTGTATTTGTTTTGGTACAGAGGGTTTCAAAACAGCAAGCACATTTCTAAAACAATACTGCTTAGATTTGGAATCCAGAGAGAAATCTGGTTTAATTTTTTGGGGGGCGGGGGGAGAAGAGGGCAAGGAGGGAGGAACTACAGAACCCATTTTAGAATTAGGTAAGCTTCCCAACCTTTCTGTTTGGGAGTATCTATTTGAGAAATTCATTTTTTTAAAATTATGGATGTGTTTTCCTCCTCCCAAACACAGGAGAATTTTCAAAATTTTTAGCTACTTTGGGGAGCGTCACTAAGCATGAGATAATTCTTTAGGCTAGGTACACTAAATCAATGAGCACTTTTGAAAATGTAGATCATTGCTTACTGGGGGGGTATGCTATTCCTTCATAGTAGGGTTTTTTTAAAGCTCTTTGTTCATGTGATTTTAGGCATGCTGAGTTTTAAATATTATTACCAGTTCTACTCCAAAAACAGGCATTATCTGATTCGGCAACATCCAACATCCGGCAGGATCACAGATGCTCCTGGACCAGAAAGCTGGAAGCCTAAGGGCAGGAGGGCCTGCTGGGCCTGGGGTAATAGGGTCACCAGCCGAGCTGGGGGCAGCGTGAGAATGGACCCGGAGCCCCATTGCAGGCTCTAGCAGCCAGTGGCAGCACAGGGCCAGGCCGGAGTCCCCCGGCAGCACAGGTTGGCACAGGCCTGGACCCCACAGCAGTTCCCGGGAGCTCGGGGCTGTGACCGTAGTCCTGCGGCAGCATGGGAACAAAATCCCCCAGCAGCTTCCTGGAGCATGGGGCTAGGGCACTATGGCAGCCCCGGGAGTGTAGGGCTGGAATTGAGCTCCATGGCAGCATGGGTCCAGAGCCCTGCAGAAGCCCACGGGAGCAGGGGGCCCCACAGCAACCTATGCTGGAGCCCTACAGCAACTGCAGGGCTGGAGCACCGCAACAGCCCCCTGGAGCGCGGGGCCAGAGTCCCGTAGCAATTATGGGGCCAAGATCAGAGCCCTGCAGCAAACATAGAGCCGGAGCCCCACAGCAGCTCTCTGGAGTGCAGGGCTGGAGCCTCATGGCTGTCCCCAGATGTGCGGGGCTGGAGCTCCGTGGCAGAAGGCGGAGCCTGTGCTGCCCAAGAAGCTGGCAGCAGCTTGGCAAGCAGCCCAGCCAGGTTGGGGGTGACAGAAGGCGAGACAGGATGTCTCCTGGGGCAGCCTGCCAGCAGCAGGCAATGGGCTTGGGAGCCAGTGGCAGGAGACCTCCCCTGGTCTGGCAAATTCTCTCATTTGGGACTCGTCAGGTCCCGATGGTGCTGGACCAGGAAGATCCAACCGGTACTATGTCTGCCTATTGCAGTTATTATTTGTAACATTTTTATTTTGGAGACTGGAATAAAAAATTATTTATTTTTGTTCTCTGAAAATTCAACTAGCACTGTACTCCTTTAATACCATCATGTTACTAAATAACAGCATTAAGTAAATCCTAATGGTAGCTTATAATTAACACAGCAGACTTTCATGCCTCGTGTTAAATGAATTTCTAAAGTGGTCTTAAAGAAATGTGTTTTATTCTCAAAATTTGATATCTCATTTGCTATCACATTCTTCCTGCATTTAACTTCTTTCATGACATGTACACTGATACGTGAATATCTGTCTTCATAAGTTCCTTTATGTGACACAAGCACATTTGGAAGTCTTCCAAACATATTTCAGGCTAATACTTAAGCTACTATATTGGACTTGAACTTCTGTTTCTTAAAGAGCTCTTTCAGCTGTTGTTCAGTTGTTGCTTCTTTCTGCTGCATCAGCTCTGCAGTTCCTTTGGTCACTCCCCAGCCATCTGGCTTTGACATTGAAGGACAGTATGGCCTGCCTGAAGCAGGCAACAAATTTTCCCAGTACTCTTTTCTTGCCCTAAATAGAAATAAATGTTTTAATATTTTTAATGAATGAAGTTCAGAGAATGTTACAGTCTAAAATAAACTGTAGATTAAAAACTGATGATGAATTTCATTCATTTGCATAAGATTTTAAGCTCAGTGTGAGGGTCTGGATACAGGAAAATATTTATGCCTTCACCAAATAGGTATTATTAGCATGGCAGGCAGTCTACATTAATTCTGTATTTCTAAAACCAGTAAATTATTTTCATATTAATCCAAACCAAAACATATTACATTTTCTTCATTCTAAGGGGCCTGTCCAGTTATATGTTCCCAAAACCGATAAACATGGGCGGTCAGTGAAGTTAGGGCTGGGAAAAACAATGCCTTCTCCCACCTATTACAGGCGGCCCCCGACTTGCGACATGACTGGTTCCTGGGGAAGTGTCGCAAGTCAGGGGTGTCGTAACTCGAACCTTCATTTATGATAGGCATCATGTGCCATCATAAATGCAGGCCAAGGATGTAAGTCGGGGGTTTCAGATCCTTCCACACTTACAAAAATGGTAGTAAGTTCGGGGGGTCGCAACTCAGGTAGTTGCATCTCGGGGGTTTCCTGTATACAAGATGCCATGACAATATAGGTGCATTGAATTGGATTAAATGGGAGGGAAGGAATACAAATGTCAAGATCAATCCTGGTCAAAGTAGTCTGCAAAGACCCCATAAATTTTAGGGTTGCCAACTCGCCCAGACAGGAAGCCATTGCCACATACGGTATCCAGTTGGAAGCATTGGCAACCCTATTAAAGATCATTAAAGTATAAGAATTTAATTATTTTAACATGTTACAAGGCAGCCATTCAAGTCTGTGAAAATTTTGAATGTCATGAGACTTCAAGCTATCTTTAAGGTAATATGGGACTAGCACCTCTCCCCCCATTCATTTGTGCTGGTGAAAAGGAGGAAGAAATAGAAGAGTAGCACATGCATTCATTAAGTTTTCTCCATTATGGTAGTACCTTACTCTAATTGAACTAACAAGCTATTATAGCCCACATTTGTGTCCAAATGATCACATTTTGTTTTAGCATATAGATGGCTAGAAGATGTTCCTCAGTTTTAACTAATGGATACCAACTAATTAGTCTGACCTTAAGTCAGCATATTAGGGCTAAGCTTCTTGGGGCTGGAACAATGTCTTCCTGAAAATATTATACAAGATGGACATTTTTTTAAAAGTATCCATTTCCTAGTGTTATATTATAACTCTAGGTCTGAAGACCTCAAACTCACTTCAATTTCAGTGGGAGGTTTTTGGACTGCAGTAAGGGCAAGCTAGGATCAGTTTCTTATCCTAAAGATGGTTTAAATGACCTGAGGTGAAATCCTAACCCCACTGAAGATAGCGGGGCCAAGATTTCACCCCTAGAGATTAGACCTGAGCTTTCGAAGTTATGCTAATATCCATGGGTGGTGGGTGAAGATAGGGCTGGGGAAGGCAAGCCTCCAGCCCCACTCCCACCCCTTCTACCAGACTACACCCACATGGGAGCCAAGCCCCCCTCTGCCAGCACATGGCCCAAGCTTCCCCAGCCCCAGGGAATGGGAAAGGCAGGCAGCATGTGGTCCCATCTTCCCTGCCCCAGAGCACAGGAAGGGATGGATGCTTGGGGGCAGCAACATTCCACCCCCAGAACACCTACAGTAGGCATTCTGGGGGCGGAGTCTGGGTGGAGCCAGGCTGGCAGTTTGGGAAGACAATGCCTTCTCCTGCCTATTATACCTGCTGCCCCTGGGTAATACATATAGATGTGAGTTTCTTTGGGTATGTCTACACTACCCCGCTAGTTCGAACTAGGAGGATAATGTAGGCATACCGCACTTGCAAATGAAGCCCGGGATTTGAATTAGGATTAGGCTTCCTAATCCGAACTAGCTGTACTCCTCGTTCCACTAGCTGCACTCCTGTACTCTAATCCACGAGGAGTACAGCTAGTTCGGATTAGGTTTCTAATCCGAACTAGCTACTCCGTGCCGCGTGTAGCCGCGCGGCACGGGGTTCGAACTAGCCGGCATTTAAAAATGGCGCCGGCCGGCTTCATGCAAATGAAGCCCGGGATTTGAATTTCCCGGGCTTCATTTGCAACTGCAGATGACTACATTGCCCCCGCTAGTTCGAACTAGCAGGGTAGTGTAGACATACCCTTTGAAAGCTTCATAGCCATCAAGTCTTTTCACTGTATGAGACAACACAGACTACTGTATATGGGGCATAGTTAATGTGCTGTTCAAGCCAATGTACATACCTTGCTCTGACCCAGGGTTTGGTATGCATGCTCAAACCACTACCCCAGCTACCATGTTTCTCAGAAGCCAGTGGCAAAAATCCTCTTTCAGTGGCCAGCTCCTCAGCTATTGCTCTGATGTGATAAGGCTCAAATCCACAGCAGCCTCCAATGTATCGAATCCCTAGATTATAGGCTTCTCGTGCATATTTCTGAACATCCCATCTGGTAACGATTCTTGGTTCCAGAGCTACAATGATATGCACTTGCTTTAACTGCAATAATACTTAGTTTTCACAGATATTTAGTAACATTTTCAGCTAAAGTTAATTTCGCAAATGGGCAAAGTACAATGTCACAGGCATGATTGGCCTACTGCAGTAAAGATTTTAAACACTGTTAATCAGGCTAGACACTACTGATGCAATATTTCATTACATTTTAGCTTTTACATGTTGCAATGCTCATCCTGTTGCCAGAAGCTTCCTTGTTCCAGAAGGATAGAGACTGATAAATTCTACTCTGACAAAACCCTAAGTCAATTTCCAGCTACTGGGTGGTTATTTAAGTGTAAGTCAGAGAGGTCACACTTAAAATACAGACTTTAGTCACATTTAGTTAACTTCTTAGTGATCTTTACTGAAAAAAATGTCAGTGCCACTTAAAAATAATATAAGTGGTTAACTCTATTCAGCTTCTTGTGTATATGGAGTATCAGCACCTCGGTGCTTTAAGGAACTCAGTGTTAATCCCCATACTTCAGAAACAAGTATCAACAAATTACTACTTGCTGCCTGAAGAAACAGATGTCATTACTTTAATCTACTATTATCACAATGCTATCAACTGACCTGCAACTGGGTGAAATACACCACAGCCTGTTTAACTTCTACTCTGCTTATTGAATATGAGGCGGGGAAAAGTAGATGTGACCAACTTCCCTCTTTCCTCAACCATAAATTACTTGCAGAGGATTAGAAGTGCTGCACTGAGCCAATGTAGAACTGCCTCTTCCCCTCCAGCAGGCACTCTGTGAAAGTGACTTAGAAGAGGGGTAAAACTTTCTTTTCTCCGAGCCACTTTCCTTCTTGTTGCAGAAATGGTGAGCAGAGTAGCAAAGCCATTGGGATGAGAAAAGAAAGACTTTGGGGGCGGGTGAGAGATAGAAGATGACCAACAAAGGAAGAAAGAAAAGTGGACAGAAAAATGGGGAGTGCAGAGGAAAAAAGAGGCAGGAAAAACAAGAGGGAACAAGTGGGAAGATGAGAAGAACAAAAGAACAAATCCTGCCAATTCCAAGAGGGCCCTGTAACAGCTGAATCAGTGTGGTGGTGCTGGATGAGAGTGAGGTTGGTTTTCAGGAGGCTGCACAGCGGATGCCTTGCTGGAGCAAGAGGCTCATGGGACGGTATTAGAGCAAGCTCCTTCTCCCCAGAAAGGAGGCAGAATTCCTTTTCCCACTTCCCTCTTGCAGAGATCCATAGCATCCAAGCAAATTACTCAAGATGGATACTAATTCAGATACAAAAGAAGATTAAGACAGGCATATTCTGAGAATTAAAATCAATTTTAGAAAGAAAAACAAATATTTAAAGAAGGAGAATAATCAGTCTTAGGCTACGTCTAGACTGCAGGCTTCTTTCGGAAGAAGCTTTTCTCGAAAGAGACCTTCAGAAAAAACTTCCAAAAGAGAGCATCCACACTGCAAAAGTGCATCAAAAAAGAAATATGCTTTTTAAAAAGAGAGCGTCCAGACTATATGGACGCTCTGTCGCATGTAAGCTGTGATTGCTAAGGACAGAATAGCCACCAGGGCACCTGTGCTTTTTCCTTTTTCCAGTGGACATTGGAAAGGTAGGATGAGGTGCTTCAGTACATGAAGAAAATAGTTAAGTGACATCCAAGGGTGGTTTAATAAACACATTTGTGCCTATCCCTACAGAGTGCACAAGGGGCTCTAGTACACATTGCCTGTATCTTGGCATAGAAGATACTTATGAGTGCAAAGATAATGCAACATGGGTGTGAAATACCAACAGACCAGACTCCAGCATTTTGTACCTACTTTGCCCCAATGTTAAAGATTCTACGAATTGCAGGGCAAGAGAATTTTCTCACTTCTCTCACTTTTCCTTCAGTCCTTTTGTGTCGGCCCTGCACTGAGACTACAGGACCCAGCCAGGGTTACCTGGCTGCAGGGGCCCCTCCCCTGCAGCCCTACTGAGCACGCCCAGGCTGTAGCTCCACCATAAAAGCCTGGGGAAGGACTCAGTCTGGGGTAGCAGCTGGAGGAGAAAAGGGCTCCTGCACAGCGGTCACCAGAGACTCCATAAGAGGCTGGTGGGGATGCAGAGGCGAGCTGGTGTGCCCCAGAGACTGGAGTGGCCCAGGGCAGGAGCAGGAACCGCCTCTCCTGCCCCAAGAATGTTTCGGCCGGATTGCCCCACAGAGGGAGTGATCTGCTATCCGGTCACTCACAGGGCCCTGGGCTGGGACCCAGTGGAGTAGGGTGGGCCTGGGTCCCCCTACCTGGGATGCGTCCCTGCTACAACCCTAAACTGTGTTTCAGACTCAGGCTGGAGGGCCTTGGACTTAAGAGGTCCTGCGGAAGGGTCAGGTGGGAGGGGCCCACCACACCTTGCTACAGATCAGTCCTATGCTCAGTGAGTATGACTGTACGAACTTAATGCCACCTGGGGCAATAATCTCTCAAAAAGGAGTGGAGCTACGAGGAGCTAGACTTGGGCCTGAGTGTTTTCAACCTCTATCCTTCCCTACAAGCGGCACTTGTAGAAGGATGCAACAATTGCCACTTTCTAAATCATGCTTCTCACACATCCACTGACTCAGGCACATAAACCAGTTAAAGCACTGAACCTTTCACCAGCATGACTGAACCATTACAAGCTGTATTGATATAGTGCATGCCCATTAACAGCCCTGTTTTGGGTGCACATTGTACACTACATCCCTAGGCATTGCAAGGCTTGTGGATTGGTGCTTTCTTCAATTCCTGACAACTCCACAAGAAAGCATTTGAGGAGGTTGTGCTGGAACAATTGTATTTGAGTTAGAAGGGCCTGATAAAATTCATCCTAGGGTACTTAAGAAACTAGCTGAAGCAATCTGGAAACCATTTGTGATGGTCTTGGAGAACAAGTGAGGTTGCAGAGGCCTAGAGAAGGGCAAACATAGTAGCTATCTTTAAAAGAGGGCACAGGGAATTATAGATCAGGCAGTCTAACTTCAATGCCTGGAAAGATACTGGAACAAAATATTTAACAGCCAACTTGTAAGCACCTAGGGAAAAAAAGGATTAGAAAAAATAGCCTGCAAGGGTGGTTTTTTAATGGAACCTAATTTCTTTCTTTGACAAGTTCAGTGGTGGATAGAGATAAGCAGCCAGTGTGTCATTTTGTCTTTGTAAGGGTTTTGACATAACATAAGAAAACTAAGCAAATGTGGTCTAGATGAGATTACCATTACACAAGTGCACAACTGTTTGAAAGACTGTCCTCAAAGACTAGTTATGAGTGGTTTGCTGTCAAACTGGGAGGATGTATCTAATGGGTTCCCACAGTCCTTGGTCTGATACTATTCATTATTTTAAATAAATAGAGTAAGTATACTTATACAATTTGCAGATGATGCAAAGCCGGGAGAGGGTGAAAGCACTTTGGAGGAGAGGATTAGAATATAAAATGTCCTTGATAAATTGAAGAGCATGGTCTTAACTCAAGATTATGAAATTTAATAAACATAAGTGAAGAACTTTGCATTTATGAAGCAGAACTGACTTAAATGGGGACTGTGCGTTATGTAATCTTGCCTTAATCTTTGTATTCAGGCCTGTCAGTGTGAAAAAGCTATTTGCATATATATTGGCATGTATATGCAACCACACTTAAGTTGCAGCCCTTGGCATGTTCTGTGAGTATCATTGTGGTCCCTGGGGCTTTCAAAGTTGAATATCCTTGGTCTAGGACTTCTTGATTCTGCCTCAATGCAGAGGTTTGGATTTTTTGAGGACTCCAAAATCTCTTCCAAACCAACAGTTCTGTGATTCTAACTTTCATTTTGGTTAATATCAACTGCTCTTGACTTTCCTTGATTTGAAATTCTGCACAGAAGTACAGCTTTATCTTGGCTAAATATAAACCAATTTTAAAATGGTCTTGGTCTTACCAAAAGGAAATTCTGGGAGATCAATGAATCCCTGCTTCCCACAGTCAGGAGTATGGTAAGCAAGTGGTTGAGATATCAGGTGTGCTTTCAATTTAGCAGACTCTAAGCCCTTTTTCATGAGCTCTACAGTTCTCAGGCAAGTCTCTGGGTCAAAATGGCAGTTCACTCCAATAATAGAGGCACCTGTGAAAAAGACAACTTTTCAGTTACACTGCTTCCCAGGAACTGAGCAATGATTTAATAGCAATTTAAGTTCCTAGCCAGAGTGCTTTTGAAGCAAAGCATTCAAGCTCTACACTAACAGTGTGACCATAAGCCTATCACAGCAGAATCGAGCAGCAGGACAGAAGCTAGAGACACTTTCTTAAAATCTTGCATGGTTCCGCCAAATTCTTCAGTGGGAAAGCTATGTCTTTTCTGTATGTTACCCATACTGCATTTATTTCCCTCACCTCTTAGTTTCCCACCAACTAGTACCATCATCAATAGTATCACACATCCCACCCACTTTTCCAGCCAACAGCCAGCAGCTTTAGCCCATCTTTGTACCCCCAGTGATCCTGGCACAGCTTCAGCAGCCCAAGCTGAGCAGTCTTATGACTGCTTAACTTTATGCCAGTTGTTATGGCCCAGTGCTCTACTCTACCAGGCAAGGATTATCAAGGCATAGATACCTGGTTATGCACCCTGTTTTGCTAGATGAATCTTGAGATGCACAGATATTAAGCAGGGAGAGCAAACATGGTTACATTTATTAATCGTAATCATCAACCTACCTAGTTCAGATGTGTATTTTTATGTTCCTTGAGTAGGATCCTCAATTCATCTCATGCTCCTAAAATATATCTATTTTAAGAGTAGATGGGGAGGACGTTTCTTACCAGCTTTAACCAGTTGGACAGCACATTCTCCAGGTGGTACACCATGCAAGTCTCCCTCTGGACCAATGCACATGGTAGCTGCAACTGGTTTTCCAGATACTTTTAAGGTTTCAACGGCCCATACTGCTTCTTCAACATGTTCAAAATACTGAAAAAAAATAAATCTAATCTATTTTCTTGTGCATGAGGACCCAGCGTAAGTGTTACACACTTTTTAATCTCTATTTCTCCACGGTATATCTCAGGGCCTGAGTTTTCTTTCATCTACATTGGCATTAACTATTGACTTCAGAAGTTACTCCAGATTTAGTAGACCTCCAACTTTTGGTACTGTGGCTGCGATTATGTTTGTACAATTTGCTCTCAGTAAATGGCTGCACACAGCACCCCAAAGAAAGAACTATGCCTCCAAGGCATGATTCTTATTCTTCCCCTTTTCCCCCTTGCTCCAAGTGAATGGTAATTTGGTATTAGTTAGTGCCAGAAGGAATTATTAACCCTCCTATCCAACCAATTCTGCTCTTTTTTGCTCCTTCCTTGTCTCCATTCACTACCATATGTCTGCATTCCAAACTTGCAGTGGAAATATGGGGAGACTACACTGGAGCGAAGATAGGAGGAAAGTGTTATGCTTCCTTATGCTCCTGTGTGCACAATCTGGCCCTGAATATTCACAAAAGATCCCAATTCCACAAGGAATACCCAGGACAGTCATCAGCATCATTTGAAGTATTACAGGCCAATACTATCTGCCACTCCAATTGAAGTCAACAGGAATGGGAAGAGCTTTGTACCTCTCTGGATTTAGCTGCAAATGAAGACAAAGGGCTCAATTCTTCATTCTGTCTTGTTCTATGGCCCCTTTACGACAGTCTGGCAGCATAAAGTAGCTGTTAAGGCAACAGACATTCCCCACAAAGAATGCTGCTGACATAGGGTTTTCCCCAGTCAGTTCCATTTCATCCCCTCAGAGGATGTGCTGGAATGAGGCCAGGAGAATGGAACTATGTGTGGAGCACCGCTGTATCCAGCTGTTCTCAAGGATCATGAGTAGCAGAGTACAAGTTAGACTAGTCTTAAGGTTGCTGTAATTTACGATGGTAGTAGAGAAGGCACCCAAAGTATGTGGAGAGGCAAAAGTGAGGTAAAGACCATCACCCTCTTCCTTCATTCCTGCACAGAGCTAAGCTTGGCTGTAATAGAGATTTGGGCATAGGGCCTCAATTGCACTTTACACTGCAATGCCTGCCAGCGTTATATTTTTTTAAAATATATCTGCTACTATTTACATATCAGCACAGTAGCAAATTTTAAAGGGAGAAATAAACATATGTCTGAATTCCCAAAAAACTGAATGAAGACTTCAATTCTAAGGAAATCTGACCAGCTGGCAAATTAAATAAATGGAAGGCACTTAGTTTCTTTACAGTTGGATTTACCTCTGCAATTAAGAAGTCCACATTCTTTTTGACAAAGACCTCTAACTGCTTTTGAAAAATTGCTTTAACCCCAACTTCATCCTTGCCACTCAGGTATGATGGTGTTTGACTAACTCCTCCAGCTACCAAAGCATCTCCTTCTTTAGCCACTTCCTTTGCAATGTCACAAGCAGCTTCATTCACACTCTGGCTCTGAAACAGGAAAACAGACTACATCAATAATGATTATTTATTACAGATATTCCTGCATTTCAGGAGAAAAAATGAGAGTCCTAGGAACCATAATGACTTTAGTTTGAAATCTTAAACATGAGTTTTTCAAAATCAATCACGTTGATCTGCATGAATTAATAAAAGAATAGATAAATATGGGCATCATATTAATGGAGATAGGAAGAATATAAGAAAAAAATGATTACAGTAATGTTAGAAACAAAGTCATTTGAATGCATTCTGATCATAGAATAATGTATAGCCACTCTATTTTAAGGCACTTCCAGGTTGGGATCTTTCTGGGATCTTTCTGGGTTTGTCTACACTGCAGTTTTTTCAGAAAAATGGTCATTTTTCAAAAAAAAGTCACTTCCACACTGTAATCACATTCTTAAAAAAAAAAAATCGAACGAAGAGAGGTTTTTTTTTTTACATTGGTAAACTTCTTTCTACGAGGAAGAAGCCTCGGTTTAAGGATTATTTTGAGGGAAGGATTTTCTCTCGAAATAACCCTGCGAGGACCGAGTTTGATGTCCCGAAGTAGCACTATTGTGGAAAAGTGGCAGTCTGCAATTATGCAAATGAAGCACAGGATATTTAAATCCCCACTTTATTTGCAATTTCGGATGTCTACATTTGCATTCCTCCCTTGAAGGAGGAATCAACTGTAGACATACCCTAAGTGATCAAGACCTGATGCCAGATGATGTGGTATAAGAATAGAGCTAAATAGGTCATTCTGATACATGCAGAGGCTTAGGGTAACCTTGATTTTTTAAATTAAGCCCCAAATACTGCCCTAGTACTTAACCGGGATAACTTCTCAGGGCACAGAGATCTCCATGGGCATGGGGTTGAGGAATTTCTTTCTTTCAGAAAATCTTCTCCGCTTATCAAAGGCTTGAGAAAGCAATGTGGCCACTTTGGCAGGGAGAAGAATGAGAGGAACCACATAATGGCAAACCTTCAATTCCCAAAAGATTTGCTATACAGGCTGTTTCAGAGCTCTGAGCTGGAGCCCACACCCACACTACTAACCCTAGGGGCTCACAATATCCTTCTCCTTTCCTGTGCAGCAAATCATAGTAGTTCTGCTATTATCAGGGCCCCTCTTTACTTAAAGAGGGGGTAAGATTTATGACCAAATCAGTATTTTGGATCTACTGATTATTGCTCTGTTGTAGATTATATGCTCTTTGCACATATTTTGTTCATATTTGTTATTTGCATATTTTCTCTGAGAATCGTCATAGTTTCTTGAGATTGTGTTGCTTCTCCAGATGCTGAAGGATTCCCTGTTATCACTGATCTTGCTGTTTGTGGATTTGGTCCTTAATGTATCCCATTTAAGATAACTCAAAATAAACTATGTTCCTTAAGTTGGATAAAAAGGTGACTTAGTAGCATTCCTTCTCCCTCTTCTTACAACTATCCACATTTGGATTTTTTCCCTTTTTCATTGTAAGCAGGAGATCCTTCCTATTGCTTCAGACCAAAAACATCATAAAGTCCCCCCAAATTTGACTGGAAATGTTATTTCAGTGCCCCTGAATATGGCTAAATTAACTTTGACAATTTGTAAAAAGAAGCAATAATGCCTGTGTGTTCAAACCAGAAAAGAATATCTATTTTCTACAGATCACCATTAAAACCCGTGTTTTACTCACAGATATTTTCTCAGCTACGTAGTTGCCCCTATTCTCTAATTTATCTTCGCTGGCATAAAAGCTGAATGTCTGTAAAACATTTGATCCAGCTCTGAGGAATTCCCGATGGAGTTGACGAACTGCAAGGTATTTTAAAAAAAAAGCAAAAAGAAAAGTTTATGGTTGTTACCATTTTAGCACCTGTCTGCACTGTTACATGTTTATTGGATCTTAGGTTTCTATACGTTATTTTTTGCTTAGGAAAGATTCTGAATTAATAGTACCCCTGAGTTTTGGAGCAACTATAATGTGCAGCACATGCTGACACCTTTTCTGTCAATTTACTTCAATGTGGAGGGACAATTTATAGAGGGAAGCAGACAATTCAGTCTCCTTGGCCAGTCAAACAGCTTCTGTTGAGATAGTAAGTTTTCAGTGAGGTGGTGATGACATGCAATGATCTGTCTGGTCAACCATTGAGGACATTGTACCCAACAGTTACCCTGCTGGAAGCTCACTCACACACTGGGTCTTTGGTACCATGCCTATCTTTTGCTGTACACTATACTGCAGCGCTCCCAAGTTGTAGCCACTGAATTGACATTCCGGCATGTACCCCAGAATTTGACAGCACTGCAGTCAGGCATTTTGTATGTTCAACCACTGCCAGCTGAAACCCAAATAAAACATACTAGAAATATGGTGACCATATTTCCCTATGCTGAATACAAGATGCCTGGTAAAAACATTCATATTCAAGTGAGGTCAATGGCAATTTGTTAAAAAGAGCCTTTGTTAAAAAGAAATACTGAGTAGCTGGAGCCTTTTTATCTTCAAGGTAATGCCTCTCCCTCCCCTCCCTCCATGCCTGGGCCCCTGGGACAGACTCGCCTCTCCTGATGCTTGGCACTGCATCTTCGAGACAACATGTGGGGGGCATGCAGGATCACAAGCCCCTCTGATTTCTGTGAGGATTCACACTAGAATATGGCCAGCAACTTTCTTTCAGGACTGTGCAGAAAGGAAGGGATAGGAGCTGCTTCCAATTACAGGGGGGTTGGGGTAGGGATGACTTGGCCCATTTCTTTGCAGAGAACATCTCTTCCCTCCTCCTCACCCCACTCTCCCATGGCTAGATGCAGCTTGCCCTTCCTGCCCATAGAAAGGCAGCCAACAGCTCCAAGCTGCTCCTGGCCATAACATAATCCAGCCACTTCTGTCCCCTGACTACAGTATGGGCAGGAAGAGGTTACCCAGGGAACTTGACTGCAGGGGATTCAGCCAACTTTGCCAGATAGGTGGCTCAGCAAGGGAAGGTGCTCAGGGGACAAAGCAGCCCAGTATTCCCTGAAGGCAGGAACTAGGGCAGGGAAGCACGTAAAGAGGGTGCTACGCCCCTGCCTGCAGTGGGTGGGGTGGGGAGAGGGCTGCTGCAGAGCCTGCTGCTGCAGAGCCTGCAAGGTCAGGGTGCAAACAAGTTGGAAACAGCTAAGCTCTGGAGTGGCAAGGAGGAAGCTGAGGGGCAGAGAAACTTCCCTCTGCCAGTGCTGTGTGGGGGCTTTGACACATGCAGGGTTTCGCATCTCCTGGATGACATCCTGGGCCAGAGGGTCTTGAGCTTTCCACAGCTGCCAGCCCAGACAGACACAGAGGGGAGGAAGGAGCCTTTTAGTCAGTCTGTTGGTGAGATGAATGGTCATACCAAGGGCTGGTTCTCTGCACAGTGCTGGGAGCAGGACATATCCTGCTTGCGGGAGGGGGGGGAGGGGGAAATATGGAGGAGCAGCAGAACTGAGGGGTGAAGGGACACAGCAGAAAGAGGACAGTGAGAGGGGGAGCATGTAAAGGGCCAATGGGTGGGCAGCAGAGACAACATATAATTAGTCACCACCTGCCTGCCCTCACCAGCCACCACAGCAAGCAGCCAGTTCTGGCGCCTGTTGGACAAGAGGAAGCAGGCAGCAGAGGGCGTCCGCTCAGGGTGCTACAATTGTTATCGGCGGTGAACAGAGATTAACAATTTATTTAACACACAGTCCACTAAATAGCAATCAGACAGACAGTACTTTCTTTTGGAAGACCACCTCCCGAGTAAATATGAAATAGTAGGAATAAGTGTAAGCCTCTGTATCCCACCAGCCAAAGCTGAGACACTCAATCCCTTGGATTTTTATAAAGGTATATCGTAACACTATTCAAATGTCTCTTTCCAAGGCAGATGTTTTTAATGGTTTTTTAAAAGCCTTTGCTATTATATTACATTGTTGATAGACAACCTCATTCATTAGCCAACTCTATATGAGCACTAGAAAACACAATTCTCAAGGACAGGTTTCTAACCCAGAGCCAGCTCAAACAGTAGTCACTCCAGAGCACACTCTCTTCTGCTGATGCCTATATTTTAGGATAAAATAGATTTTCTTCCTCATGTGAGCTGGTGGAAATCTTACTGTACTCTAAAGGAGTCAACACATGCTGTGGGGGTTCAAAATGCCCTTCTGAGGGCTTTTTTTGGTGTTAACTTTATTTTAAAAATAACACAAAAGCCCAGCCAAGCCTTTGTGGGCTTGGCTGATCCTAAAGTTTCTTAATACAGTGGAGCTTCAGAATCTCTAGATAGGCTCCTGTAGTCAGCGCATTCATATGTCTTTTGTATCTTTCATGCGTCAATGACCTGTCAGGAAGACTTAAACAGAGTCTTCCTAAAGGGTTCCAACTTCTGCTAAGAGTGTGGGTCAGTAAAGGTGCGTCTACAAAGCAGGGCTAAAGTCAAATTAAACTATACAACCTGAGCTACATCAATTGCGTAGCTTAAGTTGAAATAGCCTAATTTGGTTTTTGGCACTGTCTACACAGCATGAAGTTGAAGGAACAATACTTTTCCTTCGACTTCCCTTACTCCTTGTAAAATAGGGTTACCGGAGTCGGAGTAAGAAGTCCTCCAGCTTGTCATTATATCAAAATAATGGCTTGCAGTGTGTCATGTTACTGGATTTTAAAGGGAGAAGCCACATCACTGCTGCACCCATGAGGGGGGGAGGTGTTTGCCCCAATATGGACAAATTGGAGAAATGGTCTGAGGTAAACAGGATGAAGTTTAATAAAGACAAATGTAAAGTGCTCCACTTAGGAAGAAACAATCAGTTTCACACGTACAGAATGGGAAGCAACTATCTAGGAAGGAGTACAGCAGAATGGGATCTAGGGATTATAGTGGACCATAAGCTGAATATGAGTCAGCAGTGTGATGCTATTGCAAAAAAAGCAAACATGATTCTGGGATGCATTAACAGGTGCGGTATGAGCAAGACACGAGAAGTCATTCTTCTGCTCTACTCTGCGCTGGTTAGGCCTCAGTTGGAGTATTGGGTCCAGTTCTGGGCACCGCATTTCAAGAAAGATGTGGAGAAATTGGAGAGGGTCCAGAGAAGAGCAACAAGAATGATTAAAGGTCTAGAGAACATGACCTATGAAGGAAGGCTGAAAGAATTGGGTTTTTAGTTTAGAAAAGAGAAGACTGGGGAGGGACATGATAGCCGATTTCAGGTATCTAAAAGGGTGTCATAAGGAGGAGGGAGAAAACGTGTTCATCTTGGCCTCTGAGGATAGAACAAGAAGCAGTGGGCTTAAACTGCAGCAAGGGAGGTTTAGGTTGGACATTAGGAAAAAGTTCCTAACTGTCAGGGTAGTCAAACATTGGAATAAATTGCCCAGAGAGATTGTGGAATCCCGATCTCTGGAGATATTTAAGAGTAGGTTAGATAAATGTCTAGCAGGGATGGTCGAGACAGTATTTGGTCCTGCCATGAGGGCAGGGGGCTGGACTTGATGACCTCTCGAGGTCCCTTCCAGTCCTAGTATTCTATGATTCTATGAAAGTCTGTACAAAGGGGGCCATGTGAGATGTCAAATGAAAGCTGATGTTCTACTGATTCTATGTATATTATTTATGTACTTGCATAATATCTGTATGTGGAGTTATAAATATGTTCTCTATGTTGATGCTGGAAGATTCTCTGTCTGAGACAGAGCAATAGGCCAGGAATGTTCAGTCAGTGACTATGCTAATTAGCAAGGCTCCAGGGACAAGGCTCTCAGAGAGGCCAATACACATCTGAGGAATGTATCTAGGCTGCAAAACAGCCAATATCATGACTCCTGACATGGGACACAGGGATAGGTCACTGGGCCATGTGACCTGCTCCAGCTCGGAAGATATCAGGGATGGATATAAAATACCATGAGGTGGACTCCAGTTTGCCTTCAGTTCTGCTACTGATTCCAGATGCAGACTTGCGAGGAACAGTGAGCCGGGAAGAATTGTTGACCTGACATAGGATGTACACCAGAGACTTTTAAGATAGCAGTTTATAACATCTCTGCTAAGAGCCTGCCTTGAGAACTGGGTAATTTGATGCATGTAATGTATTTTCTTTAGCAGCCTTACTCTCGTGCTTTTCTTTCTTTAGTAATAAACCTTTAGATTGTAGATTCTAAAGGATGGCTCAGCGTGGTCTTGTGGGTGAGATCCCGAGTGCAAATTGACAGGGAACTGTGGCTGGTTTCTTGGGACTGGAAGAACCTGTTCGGGGTAGGTGGGATTGGGTTCTAAAACCCCTCACCTGTGTGCAGGTCCAGGGCTGACTGGGGCACAGGAAGAGCTGGGGTGTCAGAGGGGGGTTTGCTCGTGAAGCTTCTTGCTGGCGAGATTGGCAGCTGAAGCATTCGATGTGACTAGTTTGTGACCTGTTTGGAAAGTCTCCAGTGACGGGGATCTTTCGGAAAATAAAGCCTTTTCCGAAAGATCCCTTATTCCATTTTTTAAGAGGAATAAGGGATCTTTTGGAAAAGGCTTTATTTTCCGAAAGATCCCCGTCCCCGTCTAGACTGGCGCTTTTTTCCAGCAAAGCTCTGAGCCGGAAAAAAGCAGCAGCCATGTTTATGCAAATGAAGCGGGAGGGATTTAAATCCCCGCTTCATTTGCAATTGCGATGTGTCTAATTTGCATCCCTTTTACGGACAAGGGATGCAGTCTAGACACCGCCATAGTGTATTCTCCTTAACAACCTTATTATCAACCTTTTTTCTTTTATTAATAAACCTTTAGATTTTAGATTCTAAAGAATTGGCCCAGCGTGAT